ACCTTGTAGACCTTTCCCGAAAAAATATAAAAAGACAAACAAATAAAAAAGGTGGGGCCAAGGAAATGGCTCAGTAGAATAAGCGCTTGCCTGGCATGCACAAGGGCCTGAGTTCAAAACCCCGGTTCTACAAAAAAAAAAAAAAAAAAAAAAAAAACTAAAACAAACAAAAAAGGCCTGGGGATATAACTTAGTGTGAAGGCCTAGATTCATTCCCCAGTAATGCAAACAAAACAAAACAAAAAACGAAACAAAACAAAAAAACACCAAGGGTGCTGACATCAAAAACAAAGACATCCAAAGGCTAGGTGCTCTGTGACAGAGTTGACACCACTATGTGAAATCAGTTTGAATTGGATCAAGCTACTAGACCCAACTGCAATAAAGGAAGGAAGACAAAAATATTTTAATTTAGTTTTTTTTTTTTAATTTTATGTATTTAGTACAGGGTCTCACTGCGCAGCTTGGACTCATAGTGATCCCTCTACTTTCAGCCTCCCCAGCGCTGGGATTACAGTCATGCACCGCCATGTCGGGTCTCCGTGGCCGGCTCCGCGCACCCTGAGGCCGGGCCAGTGTGTCATGGAGTGCGGGATCGAACCCCAGTCCCTGCACTTGCTTGAGCAGGCACTTAGTCTGCTGAGCTATCTCACCGACCCTCCAAGGAATATTTTAAATTGGTGGCAGGGTGTTATGGGTTAGATCAAGAAAGTCTCCCGAAGGCCCTGTGTACTCACAGGAAAGGCTGGTAGAAAAAGATTGGAATCACACACCTCAGAGTTCAGCAACTGAATATACTTGGGGTGGGCGGGTCCTGGCCAGAAGGGGTGTGGCCCTGTGGGCGGGTCTATCCGCTTTCTGGCTCCTCCCTTCTCTCCTTATTTCCTGACCTCCATGAGGTGAGCAGCTCTTCTCAGGGCCTTCTGCCATACCCTTTCTGAATTCAAGCCTGGACTAAATCTACTGAGACCATGAGCCAAAATAAATCTCTCCTTGAAGTTTCAGTTGTCAGGTGTCTTGTTCTAGAGACAAAAAAAGTGACTAAGACACAGCGATATAATCAGCAAATGCCAGACTGCAAGAACCTGATGGATTGGGGCTGGGGAGATGGATCAGTAGAATAAGTGTTTGCCTGGCAAGCGCAAGGGCCTGAGTTCAATCCCCAGTTCTGCAAAAAAAAAAAAAAAAAAAAAAGGAATCTGATGGATCAAGC